AGCTGGTACGTACATGAGTAAGTACTGTGCGTTGGGGCACCTTGTATTGACCGTCCTGTGCCTGCCAGATTGTCGTGTCGAAGCCACCTTCCATGCCAACTCACCCGTGTGGTGCGTACCGCCACAACGCGCTGCATTCGATCCTGCAAGCCACCCGGTCAGACCTTCCGCAGCTTTACCGTTCGTTCATCGGCTGATCGACTTCACACATCTGGTACGATGAAAAGACTGATCGGATGTAAGCCACAAGTCATTCGTTCTGACTCACTCGGCTGCATCAGGTGTTGTGCTTCTAGCAAAGAATGCGGCCACGGCGAAGTCTCTGTCGTTGACCATTGGTACGTTATGATCTGAAGTTGCAACGACTCTTGTGCAATCAGTTTCCTGCCTCGTGCAAGCGTATGCGTCTTCTAATAAACCTTCGGATTCACTTTTGTGGAGCAGCTAACCGTCAGGCGACCAAGACGTATCTTGCGCGTGTGCGCGGTCTGTTCGGGTATGCTCGACCAGGCGGCCTAAGAGTGCTAGTGAGCAAAGCCAGAGCCACTTGTCCTGCTAGTGTGCTTACCTTCCCAGAGGGAGGACGCTATCGTTATTAGCTGCCCACTCCGCTGTCTTTCAGCTCGTGATGGTGTGTGGGAGTGCCATGCGAATGGCAAAGCGTCGGAGACCATAGTGCGTCTCGTCCGCGCAGATAAGTCAACGAGCCTTGTAAAGTGCAAGTCGGTCACAGGAAGAACGCACCAGATCCGTCTGCACTTACAACTCATTGGATTCCCCATTGCCAACGACCCTTGCTATGGCGGAGAGCTGCATTTTGGTGAAAGTGCAGAGCGCGTCGACGAGATTGCAGCTGCCAAGCGCAGCAAAGCTGATCTTCCGCCGAAAGACTCTGTGGACTACTCGACGCCGCGGAAGGAGAACGAGAGCGAAGAGGAGTTTATGAGACGGACATGTCCTTGCTGCTACATTGGCGAAGCCGAAGCTTTTAATGAGACACAGCTGCATTGCTCAAAGATTTGGCTACACGCTCTGCAGTATCAGGTACATCTAGCAGAAATCATGCTGGCTATAGTGCGAGTGTAACTCACGTGCTGTTGCGTGCACTTTGTCGCAGCTCAATGGTCGCGTGTTTACCGCACCTGAACCCGGCCGCGCACCTGAGCTGGGCTGCTCCTCTGAGTACGGTCTAGACCATTACTCGCTATCGTCGTCTTGTGCACGCGCTGGACTCGCTTGAAGAAGACGACCTCGAGATCATGCGGATACTTCACATTTGCCGTCGTAGGCTCGCAGAATGGGTCAGCGAAAAGATGCGAGTTGCGTCCGATACCGTGCGATATGGACAGAAGAGCTTCCTGCACCCGTCTTTGCCGGTGGTCCATTCCCAGCCTTTGGATCGCGCAGATGAAGCAGGTACTGCAGCTCGTCTTTGTCGCAGTTGCATAAAAGCGTGCTCTGCATCAGATAAAAAAGCAGACGACGTCCAGACCAGTTGGCGGAGTCATCGATAAGTGGACCGTTATCATTGACATAGGTCGTGGTTTGGGCTCTACTCCCGTATGGGTGGAGGAGGTCGTGGATGTGGACATTCAGCGGGTCACCGTGTGTCCTTGGACATCCAATGCAGCTGGTTACAGTCTTTCGATCAGGGTATGATGATACGTACACTACATAGTACGGACGCGGCCATTGTCGCACAATGGCCACTCATTCCTACATTCGCCACGCCGAGCACTGGTTCATTGTCGCTGGACTTCTCAAGTGGTTCGTTCGCCTGCCGTTGTGCGCACTTCAGCCCAGTGCCTTGGCCACGCCATCTGCAAGTTCAGGCATGAAGTTTTCCTCCATTGTCGAGATGTCCGTGTGTGTCGTGCCGCTGATCATTGCTGGCCTGGCCTCGGCCCTTGAAGACCGCGATGGCCTCCGTCCTGTTGCTCATGTGAATGGTTTCAAGACCGTCAAGACAGATCCACGGGCTCTTTTCCTCGTCGAGCAAGAGCTGGAAGAGCGGGCCCCCTTTTTCGGTGCTGACAAGGTCGACAGACTCAAGTCTTGTGTTCCCGTCGTTGAAGCCGCTCTCACTCGATCATCTGGGTCAAGCAGGACCGCGTTTCGCAAGCTGGGGTACGAACTCAAATCGCTGATTCGCGAGCCGCACATGGCCCCACCAGCCAAACCTTCTGGCGGTATTAACGTGCAACATGAAGGGCCAGTCGACCCTCGGTTCAAGGGAGGGAAACATAAGCTTGTGCACGACGAGCTCGACAAGACGCAGGGGTTGACTTCCAAGGAAAACGACAAATTCCCATGGAAACGTGACAACTCGTTGACTCGACCAACCATCCAACAAACGAAGAAAGATTCCATCGACGCGACAAGCTCGCAGCTGCTCGAGCATCCGCAGTCTGTTTCTTCGTCCACGAACAAACTTAATTCTGAACGTGCTCGAGAACAAGATTTAAGAGGGGCTAAACCGGTAGTACACTTCGAAGTCGCAGAGGACGCTATGGGGATCGATCTGGAGCTCATGTACGCGAAGCTGAACAACGACAATAAGATAACTCAGTATGATCATGCGATCACCGAGGTGCTTCGGAAGTCCTCACCTGCTGCATTGTTTGGAGAAGGCGATTACCAGATTGCGTGCGAGAAGCTTAAAGAAAGGCTGCGCCAAGAGATTGATTTATATAAGATGGCACTAAATGAGCATGGTGAAGAAGAACTTCAACGGATAATTCACGCTCGCAAGGCCAGTGAGGATAAACGAGATGAAGGGCTGGGGCTCGAGAACGGACAGTTTGCGTCTTGGTTCATGATGGATAAAGTCGCTCCTGTGCTTGCTTCAAGGAAGGCTCAGGACGCCGATGAGTTGGTTGAACATCGCAATATTGCACCGGTAGTTATGGACGACTACGAGAAGTTTGTTATTCGGACGCTCAAATATTGTCGTGGACGTCACCTTCCTCTTCCTACGGACAGCGAAAAGTTTGAAGTGCGTCTAGGTTCTGCGTCTTTCGATGCTGGTGATCACAAGATTTTGTGTGGTGAGCTTGAACGTGGACTGCGCGATGATATCTTCATGTACAAGAACCGTCTGAGCTTGTTGGGCAACGTCGCTACTCAACAAGCGATTCAGGGTTTCGAGGTTACTCGGGATGGCGCAACGCTGTACTCGGGGATGGAGGGAGGGCAGTTCGCCCATTGGTTCATCAAGAGAATTGATCCTCAACGTGCTCGACTACACGCATTGAGTGTGTCTTCGTCAGCAAAAAATAATGAGGATGCAGAGAATGTCATGCTCAAGTACAGAATGTTTATTGATAAGCAGCTGGTAAAAATTCGTGGGCGTCACCTTCCTCTTGCTGCGGAGGCGACATGCCTCCTGTTTTCGTGCCTTTTGGAGATGACGGTCACAAGCGTGTGTGCGATGAGCTCAAAAGAGATCTGAAGAAGAATATTGAAGACTATTCGCGGGACCTGACATATAACGGCAATGTCGCCACTCAACGTACTATATACAAGTATAGGGACGACGAGTCTGAGTTCAACCGACAGTATGTGGCGGAGATTGAGAAAGGGCAGTTCGCTTATTGGTTCATCAACAAAGTTGATCCCGGCGATGTTCGACGACAGGCTATCTCCGTGGGTCGAACGCCAGATGATCGCGAAATCGCACACATTGTTGCGAACGAGTATACGCAGTTTATTCAACAGAAGCTTAGAGGTCTCAGCACGATCTAGAGCTCTCGTGATGCGCAAGCTCACAGCGTGTAAGTCGAACCTTAATATAGCGAGTTTTGCGGCACTCAAACTGTAGTCCACGTCATGGGCGTGCTTTGTCGATTATCTCACCTGCTCTGTTGAATGTCTTGTTTGCTACTGTTTTGCAACTCAATTCCCTGGGTAGAGCCAATGTGTAAAGATTGGTTGTGCACTAATGCAGGTGTTTTTTGACTGGAAGCCACGACGACGAGAGATTCACGAAAAATGATAAGAGTACACGTACGACGAGCCGCTGCTTCCAGCTGCTCCAGCTCTAGCCACCCGAAGCGATTGGCTACATACGGTGGTAACACGCACTGTTGTCAATTTGATTGTATCGATTCAGTTTGCAATCATTTGATGTGAGCGTAGTCTTGGCCATAGTCGGCAATTCATGACAGGTAGGTAGACGCATGCTGGCTCCAAGGCATCTACAGCTTTACGACATTCACATA